AGCGCCCACTACTTCTGAAGGCAAAGCTGTTCCACTGGTTGATTGTCCTCACTATCAGGAAGTTTCTCCTTAATTCTAGACTGCTTCTCTCTTTGTTCAGTTTCCAACCACTGTTTCTCGTCCTTCCCTCGGGTGCTCTGGTGAACAACCTGGCCCCTTCTGCCTTGTGGCAGCCCCTCAGATACTGGGACACTGCTATCGTGTCTCCCCTATTTCTTCTTTTCTTTAGACTGGCCAAAGCCAAGTCCCGCAGTCGTTCTTCGTATGTTTTAGCCTCCAGGCCTTTGACCATCTTAGTTGTTCTTCTCTGATTTTTTTCCAGACTCTCAACATCTTTTTTGAGGTATGGTGATCAAAACTGGCTGCAGTATTCGAGGTGTGGTCTTACTAGGGCTTTATAAAGCGGTACTAGTTCTCACACTGTTGCTGCCTTCCCACATTCCTGCGATCGCTTTGGGCGCTTCACAAACTGGCATGTATTTACAATGGTTGCAGCCTCCCAGTTGTCACCTGCAAACTTCCGAGGGAGCTTGATAAGCAAAGTCAATGGGGAAAGGCACATCTGCTTAAGTGATGATGATTCATTTCACAACTGTAGGGATTCGTGTTAACAAACATGGCAAAAAAGGTTGTAAAATGGGGCACAACTCACTTAACAACCGCCTTGCTTAGCAACCAAACTTTTGGGCTTGATTGTGGTCGTTAAGTCAAGGGCCACTTTTATATAAGACTGTCCCCCATAAACAGCTTTTAGCTCTCTCTAGCTGGTCGTTCTGTTCAAGCAGGGAAAACGCACAAATATATTTCGTTCCTCCGTTCCCGTGGTTTCAGCTCTAGCAGGAAGTCACCAACAAGCTAGAAAGTGAACTGGATGCCCTAAGAATCACCGTAGTTTTATTGGCACTAAGCTTTATTCCTTCTTAAATAAAGCAGCACACGCCCTGCATTCTCCTTTTCCCGTTTGTCCAGGTTTTGTTTCCTCCTGATTTTACTGCACTCCTTTCAAAAAGATACAGTATCTAGAAATCCCGAAAAAGGTTAAAATAAGCAAACAACTGACGTCAAGAGGAACAACTTCACGTCTGCCTGCCTGCCTGCTGGCCAGAACTGTGTTGTAAATGTGTACCCAGGCCTGGCTCCTTGTTTCACGTGAAAGGAAAAGGGATTGCAAGTTTCAGGGAGAGAGAGAGGGAGAGACAGAGAGGGAGGCAGGGAGAAAGAGAGAGGGAGAAAGAGGGAGAGAGAGAAAGAGAGAGGGAGAGAGAGGGGGAGGGAGAGAGAGGGGGGGGGGA